AGGAGACACCACTCTCCACGAAATAACAAATGGTGTGTTGATAATGAAGTCCTTGCTCTTGTGCTTCAAATGATAGTCTCCCCAACACTCAACTCTCTCACACAGATTTGGATTTGGTGGAAAGAAGATTTGAGTGGAAAGCAACTTGGGGAAGTCTAGAGATCAAGATTTATGTGGTAGGAATGGAATATCTTGACCTCAACACAAGTGTAGGTGGTTCTCTCTCAGAAAATGTATATTGGAAGTGTAGGCATGTTCTGATGGCTCTCTCCATGAATGAAGAGTGGGTGGAGGGGTATATATAGCCTCCACACAAAATCTAACCGTTACACACAACTTACCAAACTCGGTGGGACCGAATCGTAAAACTCGATCGGACCGATTTAGTAAATAATGTGATCGTTAGGATTTTTGGTGGGACCGACATGTCAACTCGGTGGGACCGATATGATTAGGGTTAGGGAATAACGTAATCTCGGTGAGACCGATTACACAAACTCGGTGAAACCGATTTTGGTAATAGACACACAGAGGGTTGGTCAAGCAAACTCGGTGGGACCGATTCGCTCATCTCGGTTGGACCGAAACGTTACGAAAGGGAAACAGTGAGTTTGCATTGCAATCTCGGTGGGACCGATCGCTCATCTCGGTTTTACCGAAACGTTACGAAGGGAAACAGGGAGATTACAATCCCATCTCGGTGAGACTGAGATCCCTATCGGTGAGACCGAAAAGACTAGGGTTTCTGGCTGTGGCTATGTCAACAGAACTCGGTGGCGCCGGATAGAAATATTCGGTATGGCCGAGTTTGACTTTTGGTTTGGGACATATGTGGATGTGAGAAAGTAGTTGAGGGCTTTGGAGCATATCACTAAGCACTTTGAGCAAGCAAGCCATTAAGCAACACCTCATCCCCTCTTAATAGTATTGATTTTCCTATGTACTCAATGTGATCTTGGATCACTAAAAGTAAAATGTAGAGTCTTGTGCTTTGAGCTTGAGCCAATCCTTTGTCCTTATCATCTTGAAGGGGTTCCACATCCTCTAGTTCATGCCACTCCATTGTTGAACTTATCTGAAACATACTTGGTCAAAGTATTAGTCCAACAAGAAATATGTTGACATTAATTACCAAAATCACCCAGGAAGCACTTGTGCTTTCACCGGCTCGTCCCAGGACGGATCCATCACCTATCTGACGTCCAACGGCACCGTTCGTGTTTCGGGTTTCGACGTGGAAGAGTAGGCATGGAAGACGGCGGCGCCTTGAGTCCCATTAGCCGGCTCGCGTCCCATGCCCTACTCTACCTTGTCGGCGACCGGACCAACACTCAGGGAAGCGCAGCCGGCTGTCGGACATGAGAGCTCCTGTTCGACGCTTGTTAGAGTCAAACAGAGTAGGTTTCGCTGAAGGTTTCACGCAAAAGGGCCAGCCCATTCCTAGGAGTAGAGCGAACGCAATAAAAACGAAAAAAAATACTAGCATAGGATGGAATTCGAATCGAACCCTCAACCTAACGCTCAATAACTGCGTTGGCATCCGCTGCAACTATGGCTGAACATGTATTATATTACAACGCCATCCTTGAAGTACTATGCGCACATCCGAAAGGAACAATGTTTCCTTGAACAAATTTCAAAACTCAAACGAACTTTTAAAACATGAAAAGTTATTTAAAATATGAATGCAATTATGAAATCCCAAAACATTTTTTGATTTTTTTATGCATGATATTTTTTTAAAATATATATTTAGAATTTTGTAATATACATTGAACAAATTTTAACTACACACTGAACATTTTTTTGATATACACTAAACAATATTTAAAACACATTGAACTTTTTTGTGATTACGATGAACAACTTTTAAATGTACATTAAATATTTTTTGTAATATACGCTGAACAAATTTTCACTACACATTGAACATTTTTGTGATATACGCTAAACAAAATTTAAATCCACATTGAACACTTTTGTGACATACGCTAAACAAAATTTAAATACACATTGAACACTTTTGTGATATACGGTGAACATTTTTTTTTTGAATTGTGATTTTTTAAAAAAAAGCAAACCAAATTTGAAAACCGTGAACAATTTTTGAAATCTTGAACAAAATTTGGAATTTGATACGTTTTTAAAACAAAGGGTAAAAATAAAAACGAAAAGGGATAAATAAAAGGAAAGGAAAAAGGAAAGAAATGGAAGCAGAAACATAAAAAGGGAAACACAAAAAAAGAACAAAAAAAACTGAGAAAACCAGAAAACTGGCGAAAAACCCAAAAAATCGGTTGAGGGAATCTTCTAGAAGATTCTCAAAACCGGTTTGCTTGCTTTTGACGCTCAAATTGGGCCGGCCGGTTTCGGGGTGGTTGCTCGAGCACTTCAGCAGAAGCGCAACACCTCGATGCTCACGAGCGTCAAATAGAAAACGCCGCCGGACATGGGCACAATGAAACCGAGCGAGTCCGCCGGACATGGGCAGCCGGCCGCCGGATTTGCCAAGACCGACTGTATATGCTCTTATGGGCTGGATATAGGTGTCTGGTTGACTGACTTTTTTTATTCAAGTCCGTGCTCTTCGTCCGAACATCAGGGCGGAAGTGATGCCGATTTGGAGACGGTCTGAAAAGTGAAAACCAAACCAAAAGGTCGGTGTCACGGGGTGGGCTGGGTCTATCAGGATCGGGTTTGGATTCGGACCTGGTCACCCGGGCAGAGCACAGTTACTCACTCACTTGAAAGGCAAGGAGCGTCACCGCTTTCGGGAAAGAATCAAACCACCCACCCCGCCGCCGCCGAGTTTCGGGCGAACCGAGAGCGCATCCCGCGGGCTCGGCGTACGTACGCCGTCGACTGCACGGGCGGCCGCGTCCGGCGCTCGGCCAACCCTCGCCGCGGGCATCTGCTCGGTACCATCTCTCTCCCCCCGCCTCTCGTGTCGTGCACGGCATCCATGGATCTTCCTGAAATTGCATCCGAGGCTCCCCGTGCCGCGTTCGATTCCGCGGCGCCCCCCGCGCGCGCGCCCGGGAGGCCGAACGGATCCGCGTCCCGGCCCTCGATCTGGCCCCTTGGGGGCGCGTTCCGTGGTCAGATTTTGCGGGCTGTGGTAGAGTTCCCCTAGCTGCCGTTGACTGACTTTTGGGATGGCACGTCGCCGCACGGCATATGCTTGTTGCTTTGGTTCACGCTTGGCCCGCATAGACGGCCGAGGTTGCACGGAATTGGTAATGCTGGCTTTCCCAAGTGTCACATCCAGACCTTGCAATGTCTGCAATGAAGTCTCACTTCTTTTTCCATGAAAAGATAGTGCACCCTTCCACTCTTTCCCTTGGATTTTCCTGAATATGGGCGTATGGGACCATGCTAACATTTTTTGGTCTCATCCAGAATAGGAAGATGAAATCTGTGATGGACAGACTCATGCTACTGCCATGGTGACATGACTATCGGTTGATGTTATTGCCATTCACAGACATAATCACAGGAAAATGCAGTCTCTGGAGTTCCAGAAAAGGGTAGGATTCCTTAACTAGGCCTTCCCTACATGTTCCCTTAGCAGAAGAGAGCAAGTTCACGTTGTGTTACACTCAAGGGCACTGAAACGAAGCATGTTCAGATTTGAATTACCTATTCTGGCAACGTTGTTGTCCTGATCAAAATCCATTTGCTGCTTCCTTTGGACACTTGCTTCGCAGTAGTCAGTACCTTGATTGAAGAGCTAATGGTAGGAGCTATCAGGCACCTGGTCCAAGTAGCATAAGGTAAGCTCTATTAAACCCGGCCTGCGCGGGAAAGACAGCTCTCGCGGTATTTTTAGAAGGCAAGAAACCCCCCGAATGCGCTGCACGGCTGCTCAACCTCAGACGGAGAGTAATAAACCTGGACGGAGAAACTGGTACTGCTAAATTTGTATTTATTAGTACTGCAAGTTCATCTTGTGATATTTGAATTTTCTGTTCTAGCAACGTTGTTGTTGGGGGTCAAAATCCATTTTCTGCTTCTTTTGAACACTCGCTTCTCAGTAGCATTAGGTAAGCGGTAGTGGTATGAGCTATCAGGCACCCATTCTCAGTAGCAATAACGTAAGCTCTAATAAAACTTGTTCTGCGCGGGAAAGACAGTCCCGCGGTTTAGAAGGCAAGAAACCCCCAAGAATGCGGCACGTGCCCGCTCATCCTCACGTGGGGAGCGGACGCTGCGCGTGCCAGTGAGTTTTTTTTTATGCGAGACCCAGGCCTTGAACCTGGGTCGACCGCCCCACTACAGGCGGCGTTACCACCGCGCTATCATCATGTTTTTTGATGTAAGCGCTAATGGTAGAAGCTATCGAGTAACCCGTTGTCCAAGTTACCAAGTCACAAATACTCCAACTGCAATCGCACTGTGCGAAAATCCTATGGGAAAATAACTCTGACCAAATACGCTAATGCAATATACTCCATTAATGTAATGCTGAATTTCTACCATTCTTTATGATGTAGGACAACAAAGTTAGAAAATATACATTAGCCAATTTATTATATCGGGGATTAACTGTGATGAATTTCCATTGAGCCAGGCACTATTAGAGCTGCCTATTGCTTTTCTGAAGCTATCTCAGTTTTTTTTCTAAACAGAGGCAAAAGATTTGCCTCATGGATTAATTAAGGAGAAGCTATCTCAGATTTCAGGGATTAACTATGATAAATTTCCATTATGCAGGCACTACTAGAGCTGCCTATTTCTTTTCTGAAGCTATCTCAGATTTCGGGTTCTGCAAGGTTTAACGTTTGTTTGACTGATCTCCTTGGCTCCTTGCTTGTAACTCTGATAGGTTAGATGTCAGTATTGCCCTCGTGGATGTGGCGTCGTTTCTCCTCCTTCATAAACACGATATGACTAATTTGTTGTGTTCCTATTTTTCAAGGGATGCATTTGTTGTGTTCCTATTGAAAGTGAATTAATTCTCTCTGGATTCACATTTTTCAGGTAGGAAAGCGAGTCCTGAAATGGGCCACGCCCCGAGGAGGTTGGTCTCTGCCCTCTATGTAAAGCCACCATGGGTGCCCGTTGAAGTGAGAATCGGTCAGAAGTGGAGACGAGCAAATGTTTTAAGGCAAGCTGATCGCAGGGGACTCTGTCTTGTGAGCATCAGAGGGCCGGCGCCCGAGTCTGACCCTATAATGGTGCCGCTATCAACGATCCGGATACCTTCCGACCCTCCTGTTGCCAGGAAAAGACCAGACACTCGTCCTAATTTCCGAGTGAAGAAGCCCAGGGACACCGGTGATGCCACCGAAGGCAGTAGCGATTAGGCTGCTGGCTGTTTAAGTGTTCATTGACTGTGTGATAACTTATGCTTGATCTGTATGTAAGTTGGAAAAGAGGTCTTTTTCTCCTTCATGGACAGATGCTGTGGTGTGTGATTCTGTATGAAACAAATTGTCTGAACGTATTACTGCAGTTCAGACTTGTTTTATTGTCAGTAAAATCAGGGGTTCAAGGCATCATGGTGCTAATGATTTCTTTTTGACACACCACGAAATGAGCACCAAAAGTATCAGGTTCACTTGAGCACCAAAGGGATGGAAGACATACATTTGCTGACAGCAGAATATAGCCATACCAACAGTGACCAAACCGAGGCTGATGCTGCGTTAGGCATTCGTCATACGGTATAGTGGTCACGACCAACTGTCAAAAACTTATATGGGGGTAGTATTTGTTCTGAACCACAGTTAAAGAAAACAGCTGATACACAGTCTGCAACACGGATGCTCGCAGTTCCCAGCTTACGGCGCAAGCACAGATTCAGAAAAATCTACAATTCGAAAGTTGTGAGGCTGTAAAAAATATATACAATTCGAAAGTTGTGAAGCTGTAAAAAATATAAACAAACGAGGATAAACAAATACATACTCCTTCGGTTCCAAAACATTTGTCATGGTTTTAGTTCAAAGGAGTACATAGTAACAGGAAGAGAAGGGGTGCCCCAGCTTCGGTCAATTTCAAAGACCCTAGACGACACAACATCGGACACCGGGGATGAGTTCACTCATAGCCCACTTGAAATTCGAAACTTCGAAAGCAAATTACACAGAGGCAAACTTCATCATCATCAATGAAAAAAGGGCACTACTACATGACTAGTACTACATGTCAAGTCCATTGGCAACATCTCCCTCCATGCAAAGAATGCCGCAAGACAGAATATCAGGAAGCAATTGGCCGTTGTCTTCGGGCTTAATCCTATTGCGCCCCACCATTATCATCTGGGAATCCTGCCAGTGTGAAGAGCAATTAATTAATTAGCAAACATTAGCACACTCAAGCTATTTCTGAACACACAATTCAGCCTAAGAACAAGGTTTGGAAGCACATTTATCTTATTCTGTGAGAAGCATATTTCCAAACACTAAAAACTGAAATGAGAAAAGGTGCTTCTTGCAAATGAAATATACAGCGAGTAGCATCTGAGGCAGTAGAGATTGAAGAGGAAGTTCAACTGATACCTGCTTTTGCAAGGTTGGGTGTGCACCATATGGGAGGGAACCACGTCCTCCAGGGTTCAGGATCAACCAACTTGGCCCTGGTATTGTTCTCCAAGTTGTACACCCCTATGTCACGGGGATCATCTTCGCAGTCGAATAAATCTTCATGATCATCATGAGTATAATATACATGGTTTGACATCAAGCCTGGATGATCCTTCACGCTAAAGCAAGACGTTGTGCTTTTCCCAGTAAACAACGTATAGTCACATATCCCTGCCATCTTAACACGCTTCTGCTCGACAAAATCAACCTTGTACACTTCAAAAGCGGTGGCATACGTCTCACCAACCGGTCGTTCAGGATCCCAGCCCCACTTCTTGTAGATTTGGAGAAAATCTCCCCATGGTGCCTGAACAATGTAGTACCTCTGGACCATGTCAACCATATCTGGTAAAATTCTTCTGTGGATGACGGATGGTCCATCTAGATTGTACATATCGATCGCACCTTCTTCAGTCACTGCATAGAAACAGCCATCATGGTATATGCAATCTGCATAGAAACTATGCATTTGGAGCCAGTTCCACCGAGCATCTCCCACTTTGGCGAACGAGAGCTGTCAGTACGGCTGATGGATGAGCATGACAATGCATTTGCCTGTCGATGGATCAGACGATAAAATCACCTTTATGTAGACAACTTCACCGCACCTATCCAAAGAACATCCATATGGTGTCCTCTCCACCCTCGGAAGCTCTCCGTGGTAGAAAGACAGCTTGTACTCTTCAAGAACCCCGTCATCGTTTAGGACAGGTTTAACATGCTCCATGGTTGTCACGGGAGGGAGTGCAATCTTGTCACCGGTGATAGGGTTGAGAAGCATCAGGTCAGACTTCTCATCCATGGTGACTAGCCAGCCATGTGATGAACCAATCCAGTTGCTGATGGGAGGTTCAGGGAGGGGCATGGAGTAGTCCTTCCGTTCGGAGAGACTGTACATGCCAAGAGCCTTCGCACCGGCGGCCTCGGTACAATAGAGTAAGCAGGGGGTCTGCCGACTGGGGCAGACGCCGCTGCGGCGGAGCGTGGAGTACGCCTTTTGCCAGAATGTGCAGACGGCGGCGGATCGGAGGAGGTCCGGGCACTGGAGCAACTGGAATATGCTGATCAATATGTCCGCTGGTAGCCCGGACCAATCTGGAGCCGGAGCTTCCATTGTGGATGGACAGAGACGAACACCACAGCTTTAGAGCAGGTCGGCTACAACCACACGGGCGGCCCGAGCTGCAAATCAAAGAGACCAAGACTGCGGCAGCTCCGGCGGCTACTCCGGCCGCGTTCTGATGTAGATCCTTCCCACCCCAACCCAATCCGGGAGAGAACTGGATATGCCTGCCCGGTCGAATCTGATTTGGGAACGAAACAGTGAAAACCAAAGGAATCCGCCGCCACTTTTCCCTCCGTCCCGTGGGTTGCTCTCGCGACTCACCGGGCGGTTTCCCGCCGCCTCACCTTCAGCCCCCTCGCCCACGTCCTCCTCTGTCGCCGGCGCCGCCGCCGGCCTGCCCGCGGTGGCGGCAGGGCGCCTCTTCCACCTCCCTCTCCTCCTTTTGATGCTCTCTCCTTGCCGACCTCCGCCCTTCTCGCGGCGGCGCGGCGGCGCAGCAGTCTCGGCGGGTGCGCCGGGGTGACACGCTCGTGGAGGTCCCGCGCGGCGGCGTGTGCCGGTGTGCGTGTCGGCTGGGAGCCAGCGTGCATTTTTTTTTGGTTGAGAAACTGGGAGCCAGCGTGCTGGGCCGCAGTGGGTTGGCTGTCCGGCTGCAGGCCTGGGCTGGGCCGCCCGGTAGATTTCTCTGTACTTTACTTAAATTTTAAGGTTTTTTTGAATTTCTAAAAAACAAAAGGCCCCGGAAACTATGGGCGATAGCATTAAGGTTGGGCGCAACTATCCCTCAAAAAAAAAAGGTTGGGCGCAACTATGGGCGATTCCTATTTTGCGGTCGCTTAGGGCATGTACAATGATCGATAAGGTGGTCTTATCTTAAATCTTGCATGTAATTTAGAGATGACAAAAAAACATGTCTACAATGGGTCATCTCTTAGCTTTATCTTCAATAACTAGTTATTCCTAAAAACATGGTGAGACGTATTGTGCTAAGATATCATCTCTTGCCTTCTCTTAATTAAGGAAAGACAAGCCTTCTCTTATGATCTCTCTCTCCTCCATCTCATTATTTATCCTACGTGGCGTTGCTAAGATAAAACCATTGTACATGCCCTTAGTGCTTCGAACCCGATCGACGGTAACCACACAGCCAAACCACCAGATGTGTTGTTAGATCTTTTTTTTTCTTCTTTCCTTTTTTTCCATTTTTTTTAAAATCAATGAACTTTATTCAAATTCATAAAAAAATCATATCGCTGAACTTTCTTCCTCAAATTTTATGAACTTTTTTTCAAATACGATGAACTTTTTTGATTGATGATTTTTTTTCAAACTCGATGAACTAGTTTTCAAATTCAATGAAATTTTTTCGAACCAATGATTTCTTTTCGGAATCATGGACATTTTTAAATTCATGATCTATTTCATTTTTCTAATTTTTTTCTCAAAAGTCAACAGTGAGCCATGTATATGGGCTGGCCCACGAGGGATGGGGCGTGCACGCCAGGAAAGCTCCCGTGACTATGGGCGTGTTTGAGTCACGACCTGGCTTCCATGCCTGGGAAAAATTGATGCCTGGACCCAGCCTGGGAACTAGCAATTCTCTGCCTACCCAGGCATGGAGTGTTTGATTGCATATCTGGCCTGAAGAAGGATTATAGTGAAAAAAGCGTTCGTTCCAGACCTGGCCCCACAAGAGAATCCTGCTAATAAAGAAAGATGGATTGCCAGGCAGCACCCAGGCGACCTGTTCGTAGCGCCTAGGCGAGGCTAATCAAGGTGCCTGGGGTCAGCGACTAGCTAAGCAAAGTTTTGAGATCACCATGCCAGGCGAGCTTCTAATGTAGTGGATTTAAACCAAACACTCTTCAGGCAATTTTCAGGCATACTCCAGGGCAGGCATGAAGCCATGAGGACGTCAACCAAACACCCCCTATATCTCCCTTCAAGCGAGACAGACTCAGCTGCCGCTGAGGCGCCGACCCAAATGGCCGGCCCAGATCGCGCGAGGCCATTGCCTCCTTTGTATGTTTGTTCGACCTTTTGTTTTCTTTGTTTACCTGTTTATTAACTTTTGTTTACACTTCCAAAAAGTCCAAAAATATATATTACAAAGTATAATTTTCGTAGTGTTTGAAAAATGTTAATCATGCATTTAAATTTTTATGTGTATATAAAAATGTTGCCATGCATACAAGAAATGTATACAAACAAATATATAATGTCTGTTATAAAACTTGATCATGTATTTACAATATATTGATCAAAAATTTCAAAAAAATGTTTAAAATGTATTTAAACAATGTTAGTAAAGTGTTTGAAAAATTGTTGAATGTGTTTAGAAAAAATATTGACCATGTGAAAAAAATGATAAAATATTTTTATTATGCATATTAAAATATTAATCAAGCATTTTTTAAAATATTGAAGAATTATTTCAAAAATGTTAATCAAGCATTTGGAAAACGTTAAATGTGTATAGAAAAAATATTGACCATGCATTAAAAAAGTGTTAATCTTGCATTTTAAGATATTGATAAAGCATTTCAAAATTGTTAAACAATCATAGAAAAATATTACGATGTATTAGAAAAATATTAATCCTGTATTTGAAAAATGTTAACCAAGCATTTGAAAAATATTCAAAATGTTTTATAGGAAAAATGTTGACCATGTATTAAAATGTAAATCTTGTATTCGAAAAATGTTAATCAAGTGCTTGAATTGTTTTTTTAAAAAATGGTGTAAAAAATGTTGACTATCTATTAGAGAAATGTTCAATACAAACCTAGAAAAAGAAAAGGGTTTGGTTAAGCTTAAAAATGTTAAACCTCTGTAGATGTCCCAGCTTAATCTTGAAAACATGTTGACTATGTATTATAAAACTGATACATGTCCCGGCTGTACCATTTCTAAAGATTTTTTTACTATGTCCCACGTCGGCTATTTCTTTTTTTTTTCCTATGTCCCGGCTGTACCATTTTTTCAACATTTTTTAATACATAGTCAAAAAAGAAAAAGGTACATGTCCTGGCTGTACCAATTTTTTAACATTTTTTTAATACATAGCCAGGACATGTGGCCAGGTTTGATTAAGACTGTGAAGGAATCCTCAAAAATGAAAAAGATTAAGCCTGTGAAACAGCGGCGGCGTCACGCACCAGGAGACGCGGGATTCATCTGACTATACAAATTTTGTCGCGTCCGTATCATGAGCGTATGTAGTTGTTGGGGATGGTGGAAAGCAGAGGCGATAGCCCAGGAGGACTTCGATTTGTTGGTGGGATAAAAACTCTATGTCAGCAGTGTGATCACACATTCTTCTGCACAGACATTTTATAAGAGCAGACTGTAGCAGGATGAAAATGACCACAATTTACGCGGCAACATTATCTACTTTTATCATACTCACGATACAAATTTTCTTTCAAAGATCACCAAACCAATATGAGGCTGAAAGCAAAGTAAACAAGGTTCAACGACCACAGGAGACAATAACGAAGCATAAACTTTGACACGGCGATGGATTTCAACAGGTCCATTAAACTGACTGGTGGCACTCTAGTCGTTGATCTTCTTCTCTGGCCTCATCTGCTTGCTGTTACCACGCTTGTACTTGCAGAAGTTGACACCCCTTGGGTGCAGGCGCACATGGCATCTGTAGGTAAGTAAAAATATTAGAATGTGTAAGATCAGTGTTATTAGACTCACAGTCATAGGGTTAAATTGCAAATGACTTAATTCATTGTAAGAGGCGGTCAAGGATTCCATGTATTGCAGTAGATATTGTAGAATAACCAAAAGAATAAAAAAAATCCAAAGGGCAAACAAAAAGGCCAACAGCCCTGACAGAACAGAAAAATGCAATCAGAATTCAGCATGGAACAAGGAAGGATTCCATGGGAGGCTCACAGTGAAGGCCAAATTTTCATTCTTATTCTTATGAACACACCATATAAGAAATGTTGTAGTCAGTATAATCTTATATGTTAACTTCTTTTCTTCTATGAAAAGGTATCAAAATTTGGCATCTGCAATTCATTCGCAGCAGCTTGGCCTAATAATCATATTAAAAAAAACAGAGTTGTCATATTGGATTAACCTTTGTTGGTAAGATTGATGGCGAAAACAAAGACAATTCTGCATTCTGAATGAGCGCACGTCTGCTACGGACGGTGCCAGAGCATCACGGGAAGTGTTAGAACAACCACTGCTGCATCTTAATCTGATAAGCCGCAGCTGATAGTTTCTGCACAAGCTGAAGCGCATTTGTTCTCTTCAACTATTTGTGCACAACGCAAGCTGCATGCTGGAAATTTTTATGCTCATAGGATCTAAGACAGCTTAAACGATGGCAATTTTGACGCCAATTTGGCATGTAGTTCATATATAAATTCTAAGATTCCTAAGAGTTCTTCATGTGGGGAACTTGCTCGACAGGGGGGAACCTGTTGTGGGGTGGCAGCTCGACCGAAGACGCTTGACAGGGATGGTGGCAGCGCGCGCTGAGGCACAACGGCACGGAGAGGGCAGGACCTGGGGGCTGGGGCGCCGCCCTCAAACTTGGATAACCTGCGGCGCGTGCTAGGGCACGACGGCACAGCAAGGGCAGGACCAGGGAGCTGTGGGCTCTATCAGAATGGCAGAGAAGAAGTCCAAAAATACCATTTCGTACCATTTGGGAAATGATGGGGTTGCCCTTCCGTGTGGACGGCCAAATCTGCCTGGTACTCCAATGCATGCTTTCGGAGTATCAGGGTACCGTAAAAGAGCTAACATAATTTCTTTGTGTTTGATATAAAATCATACATTCAAATAAAGGCAGAATATGTAAGAGACTACGCATTGGGTTAAGGACTAACACTCGCGGAATAAGAGGTTAATGAAGTACTAACAGAACATGTGGCTACATCGCAAAAATGAGAGAGAGGGTCATATATATAACAGGAGAAGAGTAATTTTAACATGCTACCTCTTACCCCCTCTTTTCACATGGGAGGTAAGAAGGTAAGAGTAAATCAGACCACTATTTAATCAAATCAATGGCTCAGATCTATTATGTACTCTCACCTCTCATGTGAAAAGGGGAGGTAAGAGGGACCATGCTAAAATTTGCCACAGGAGAAAATAGTAAAAATGACTGATTCATAATGGCCTACCTTTAGGTGAGAGTCTGACAGGGAAATGAGCTAGCAACTAACCCGAAAAGTGACCAGAATATAATAATATGATATATGAGCACTTCTCTCAAATTTTAGTGTTAATATTTTTTTTTGGAATTTTCCATGCAAATTGTATTTATTGTAAAGTAGACAGTGGCAAAAGGTTGCATTGTTTCAAGCAAGCATGAAGACATGGACTATGCAAAGTAACACATAACACGACAATAAACATATGCCCATCGTTACAATGATTGCAAGCATTCCTACAATTTTTTTAATCTACAGTAGCAGGTGGTTCTTTTCGGATCCACGCAATAATTCAGTTCCATGTTAAACAGAAGAAAAAACTGACAAGGAGATTTTATCAGAGTAAACAGGTACACGATCAGTCCATCACATGTGGTGTAACCGTGTAAGTGCATTTATAAACCCTGACAGGCTACTAAGCCTAATTAAGTTAATAGTCAACAAATGATCAGCTTAGCAGTTCACAAGAATTAATGTAACTTCTATGAGAACAAAATATATAAAGATTAAAGAATAAGATGTGTGATTTATGTCAAGTGTTGCTGTACATTTGGTTGCAATTTTTGTACTCATTAGTAAACCACTTCTCCAATGAAAACAAAGATAATAATTAGAACAAATATCAGAGAATACTTCAAATGCAAATAACAACGAGGTGCACATTTGAACAACTGGATATAAAAGGAAAGACAAATATTAAAGGTACTATCGGCTGAAATTTGCACTCTTTTCTCGAACAACACCGAAATGCGTATAATATTGTCCAGTATTAGAATAAGAACGGCAAGAAGGCACAAAACTGCTGTCGGGGGTTGGGTGCGACATATGCCAATGGATGGCTTATCATGATGGGAGCGAGTAGAACGTCGCCGGTGCCTGGAAGCGGGATAAGGCGTAGACACGAACGCCGGCGTACTTTACCCAGGTTCGGGGCTCTCCTAGGAGATAACACCCCTAGTCCTGCTCTGCGGGGTCTCCGCATGATCACTAAGGCACAAGTGATACAATGGTGCTCCTCGAGCTGTGCGCTAGAGGCAGGAGGAGGCAAGGCTTAGCTCTCTTCCTGCTCTAAGGGGTGGCTAGTTCTAATGGGGTCAAACCCTTTGCATGGGTGGCCTGGGGGGTTTATATAGACCTACCCCCAGGGGTACAATGGTAATCTGGCCGGCTGCTGGGCCCGGCTGTCAGTGTCTCCAGCCTCCGGCTTCTCCGCCGACCGCTGGGGCCCGCCGCCTGGTGGACCCCGCCGACTAGTTGGTGGCTGCTTACTGTAGCCGCGTCGTTGGTGACGAGAGCTTGGTCACCTTTGCGTGGCTACAGTCCCGCCGCCTGGCGAGAGGCCACTGTAGCCACACCTGGTCTCATCAGCTTAATGGCGCGCATGCCTCGGGATAAGGGACAGCCGCCTGCTGGAGGCCGGCTCCTCTTGAATCCGCTTGGTCGAGCTTTCGCCGTCTTCCTTGGGGTCACTGCCTGATAGGGCCCGCCTCCGGTGGGCCGTACCGACAGGTCGTCGTGGGGAACAGGACTCCGCCTGCCCGGAACAACGTCAGGGTAGATATGGCACAGTGCTCCGTCGTGCGGAGATCTCCGTCTGTACGGAGCACTGTAGCCACGCCCGTCTCAAGTGTGGGAGGCGACGTGCTTCACTGTAGCCATGCCCTGCCTTGTACTCTTGATGGGAGCTCGGCCGCCCGTAGTTGTGAGGTGGCCGCCTGCCCGTTGCCGCCCTCTTGGGTCACCCGCCCTCTGGCAGCCGGCCACTGAGCCATCCGGCCCCAGAGGGCAGAGTTTCGGCTTGGGGCCCAGCTAGGCGGAGCTGGCCCAAAGTCTTGGTAAATCTTGGGACTCAGGTGAGCCTACCCGTGGCCCATTACTCCAACAGTAGTCCCCGAAGCCGGTGATGCGTCGTGGTCGAAGGGCCGCGAGGTCTCAGCGGCTTCTTCCCTCCCGGGCTCTGGAAGAATGTCGATCCGTCTGGTGGCCAGCCGACTGCTCTAGCCGACCACTCACAGGCGGAGCTATACGGTTGATTTTGAACTTCCAGGCGGGAAACAGGTGGCGTCCCTGTTAAGCTTCCGAGGCAGCCGCCCGCCACGGACGCGCCACGCGGCCCGCGTCAGCCTGGCAAGCCTGCCATCCCACGCTCTGGATGGGACGTGACACCGGGCCGGGCCCGCCACTACCACGCCTCGGCAACCGGGCGGATTCACTGCGCCAGAGGGGGCGGTTGCCATCCCCACGACTGTTTATGACGGAGTAAATGCGCGCGGGAGACGGGGGGTCGTGGGGTCGTGGGCGCAGTTAATCCCACGCCCCCACGTCCCGCCCCCTCGGCTACATAGCCCGGGCGCTATAAGTAGGGAGGAGGGAGAGGTGCGGCAAAGTTCCTGTGCCCCCTCCCACTCTTCTTCTTCTCTCTCAGCTTCCGCCGTTGCTGCCGTAGCGCTGCCATAGTTGCTCGTCGTTGCTCGTCACCGACGCGTTTCTCCCCTCCGCGCCGCCAGCCGGGGCCATGGGCGACTGGGATGGGTCGACCGTGATCGAGGACCACATCACCTTCCTTCGCGACACGCGCCGGATGCCCAGCGCGGCCTTCGTCAAGGCGCGGGTGCCGCCGGAGACGCAGATCTCGCCGGCGCCGCAGGAAGGCGAGCGGGTCGTCTTCCGCTCGCATTTCCTGCGGGGCTTCGGCCTCCCGGCGAGCAACTTCTTCCGCGCCTTCCTCAACTTCTACAACCTTCAACCCCACCATCTCACGCCCAACACCGTGACCCTGCTCTCCGCCTTCGTCACGGCGTGCGAGGGCTACCTCGGCATCCTCCCCACCATCGAGCTGTGGGGAGCGTTCTTTTATGGGAAGCTCGGCACCTCCGCCAGGGAGACGGCGGCCGAGTGCGGGGGCTTCGTTGCCGTGCGCCGACCGGCGAAGCGGAACGCCTTCCCCGTCATCAAGCTGGCGCAGTCGGTGAAGATGTGGCAGCAGTCCTACTTCTACGTCGAGAACGTGGACCCGGCTGCCGACTTCCTCAACCTGCCGCCCTACGAGGCTGCCCCCCCCCACCGGGGCTCGGCCCACCTGGGGGTACAAGCCGAAACCGGTGTCGGCGGACGCGGCGGCCGCCATTGGCCGACTCCGGGTGCTCCAGGAGTCGGAGGGCCTCGTGGCCTCCGACCTCCTCGTCGCCTTCGTCGAGCGCCGGGTCCTCCCGCTCCAGAGCCGCCCTCATCCGATCTTCCGGATGGGCGGACACCGCGATCCGTGCCGGCTGTGCACGAAGGAATGTCGCCTGCCGAAGTCTCGCGGATGGTGAACGAGATCTCCAACCTCAAGATGTCGGAGAAGGAGTGGCGGTACGGGAAGCGGTCGTACTCTCGCCACAACCCGCCCCCTGTGGTAGGTTTCTCGTCTTTGTCCTTTGAGCTGCTTTCTTCCGCTTCATTTCTCTTTATGGCGCCGCCCTTCAAG